GCGAGAGAACAAGATTAAGTTTTATTAGTCATACGTGTAATTGTACATCAGGTGGCGCATTGACTCGATGAAAAGGAAATGACTCACCTTGATACACCGGCCGAGAGTAGAGTTTCAAAGACAACCTCTCGAATCTCGATTTATCTCTCAAGATAATGTAAATCATTCGCAAATGATTATCTTCTTTTCTCTATCGTCTATCTTTTGATCATTATCTTTGAGAGTATCGTTCAGAATAAAATAGAATGACATTCCGATATAAATTCCATACGTTAAAATTTTCGTTACGCCCTCATAACGTCATAATCCGATAGATATTACGCCCCTACTTTCTGTTTATTTCACGCGTAATAACAATTATGCAAGTCGTTCGATTCTAATCTGCCTATTGGACAGTTCAGAGTGCTCGAACGTTCGAACGATGGCTTTGAACGACGCGTTCTAAAATGATTCGAGAGAGATTAAAATTTATTGCGACTATCGACCCTGACATCGCTCGATGAATTTTTCTTTTCTCCTTGGCTCGTAATCTCTAATGTACGGTTTTTATGGGAATAAAAAAAAAAAGAAAAGAAAAAAGAAAAGAAAAAATTTAATCCCGCGCGTAAACACCGCATTTACCAGGACTGCTTTAATGAAACCAATACGATAGATAAGATCGGAACTCATGACATTAATCGAAATGATTATGAGTGAAACGAAATACGTCATTAAAAACGGAACGTGCCAAGTTTATATTATCTCAACGAAATAATATTAAGAAAGTAGGTAGACGTATCTACGTACATTATGTATGGATTGAATAGTTTGTTATCACGTATAGATAGCAATATGTAGGAAACAGTTAATGGATAGTTAATCTATGATTCGTATTTATCAAGAATTATAACGTTTGGCACTACTTTCGGATTTCTATCATTAATTATTCACGTTAATGATCGTCTTTATTTTTAACGAACAACTTTGATATTAATTGTCTTTCCAGAAGGCATTATAGCGATCGTTTGCATTTCTCGAAATCTATTTGTTCGGACCACGTTGCATACCATATTTCTTATCGTTCGTAGAAAATGTACGGGTGTACATGTCGATTAACGTCACGTGTCTCTGTCCGTGCAACGTGTTACTTTTTACGTAACGAGATACGATTTATATCCGTCTTTAATGACGGTTGACAGCGATCTTCTTCGTTTGCTCCTTTCTAGAACCTTTCGTCTAGTAGTGACTCACGTACGATTAAACGCATCTCTCTCTCTCTCTCTCTCTCTCTCCCTCTTTATTCCTCGTAGCGCGCGTAACGCGTGTATGACAGAGCATGAATGAAAATACGAGTCGTCATAGTTACCAGGTAAGAGAAGTGTAGGTGCTTCGGAAAGTCCAGTTTTATGAATGAATCGACTAACACATCGCAGATATAACAGTGTGTTTTTCTATCTATACGTCTTCGTATATGTCAAGTCTATATGGTTCACACGCTCTCAATCTTGGCGCGTGTTAAAAACTACTTTATTAGAAGTTTAAACCTTCAAGAAATGAATTTAACATTTTGATGAATACGAGCGTAGTATCGGCAAGTCTTTAAATAGCGTACATCCTACAAAGACTGGAAATTATGATAATTCTTTTTTTTCTTTTTTTTTTTTTCTTTTGTTTTCTATAATTTTTTTCGTAGAACACGTTTCTTTTTTCTTTTGTGAAAACATTCCCTTTCATCGAATTATTATCGATAAATTTTTCGAATATTTCACTCTAATCGATTTTATCGGTACTAATCGGATATAATTTCTTGTAATTGAAAAGGCAATCGAATCGATTGATATTGTTCCAGTTGAAAATTACATTCGTAATCTATATAATGGATAACTTGCGTTGTTACATCGTTTCATTGCTCGATTTACAAATTGTCTCGACGTATATCAATATCTATTAATAACTTAATCGAGAGAACGAAATGATTGTTATACGAGAATAAAGTGGAACGAGAGGAAAGAAAAATTTAGTTTGGCAAAAACAATGGCGTGATAGAAACTTTGAAGATTTTCTAAAGAGAAAAAGTTCAAGTGGAGTAAAACGGTAGTAATGGGACGACCTTTTCGATGTAATTTAAACGAGGGATTGCTTTTCACGCAATGTATAGAAGCTCGGTATTTTACCGCTAGGAAAAAGAGCAAAAGCGAGAGAGAGAAAGAGAAATACTCACACAATGAGCGTTTGAACGATGCACGAATGTATGTACTCTCATCACTGAGTCTCGCAGGTAAACACATTTAACGCCCACTCGAAAGAAAAGCGTAGGTTCTCAACTCGATAAACGTCAAAGGCTACCATCCCATCGATCGCAAAATTTCAATCGTTTAACTTTCCCGATAGATCCATTTGAAGATATTTCGCGCGAGAAAAAGAAACGATATCTCCGTAGTGGATACCTATGTGAATTTCATGCAAAACGATGACACAAAGTTCCAACCTTAGAAACCCCTTAGGTACGCAATATAAATATATCATCGTTTACAAGGAATAAATCCAAAGTAAACGAGAGCTTTCGCATGGTCGAGCGTCGTGATTTGACCCCAATTTTCCGGAGCGAGAAAAACGTTCTTCTCGTTGTTACCTCTGACATTTCGTTTTTCTCGAATAAAAATTTTCCCTCGAATATTTTACTAACGGTGCGACACATTTGTAATGATTTGTCAAACTTTTATCAATCGCGTTAAAAGGATTTTTATCATCAGACGAAAACGTATATTTATATGATAATCCCTTTAATCATGAAGAAAATATGATTCTCTTGAAGAAGGAGGCAGATACTTGGAACGAATTAATGGGGAATCGTCGGCGTCATTATCGTCGTCATTATCGTCATCAACGATGGGACATCGCGCAAAAGCATTGTTTTCAGCGCGTTCACCGACGGCTACCCACATGCATTTTCATTTGCAAACGCGACCTCTGCAGTTTCCACGCACAAAAGCGTGCCCGCCCACTCGCATTAGATTCGTGCATCTCCGCTACCTACGCTCCACTATAGCTTCCCCCCTGTATCATCCGTTTATAACGTAACGCGATTTGCGTTCTTTACGTCTATCTCCTTTACTCGTGCTCCTATACTCTGACTCATCGAATTTACCTGGATCCTTTCAATTACTTCTTCTTATTGGATGCGTCCAAGTAGAAACTTACGTATAAAAATTGATGTTTATATTTTAAAGAGACATTTATGCCTCTATACATTTCTATTTGCAAATTATGAAGAAGCGTAGCGAACCAAGCGACTAACGACTAAATTATTTGTATATTTACTTACAGAATATATTTCTCAAAGCATATTAAGCTTAATGAGCGATAACGTTATGCACTTGAATACAAAATTAATCTTTAATGCAACTAAATTTAATAGAAACGATATCACGATATACGTAGGGAGAGAGAGGCGGGAGGGCAGATGCAAGTATACGAACTCGTTCACGAGGGATTTCCTCGGCAACGTGACGCGGCTCGAACTTGCAAATTCCATTATCCTCAAGGCCATGGAATTCAAGGGACTATATGTCTAATTAACGCGAATATCAAGTTCAAATTGCCCGATAAGCGTATATATTCTTTTTGATCCTTACGTATTAATTAAAAAAGAGAAAGGACAAAAATTATAAGATGACGTTTGGATAAATTATAAAACAATTGTCAGTTGGGAGAAATGAAAATGAATTAATAGAGAACAATGTTATGCGAGCTGGTTAATTTGATTAAATAAAACCATTTTAAATGTTAAATCTCAGCTGTGGTTTCTCGGTGTTAATATCTCATTAGCCGTGTCTCCTAAATTATAGAGATAGACGGGATATACTTCCTGCTTAGCAGCATCTTACTGTCTCGGACTGTCTGCTCGAGAACGTTAATTAATTTGCATTCGTAAGACTAATGCCGGCACGATTCCTTCGTACAACGACCTGCCTTTAACGAACCGTTCGTTTTCTATTTCAGGCACGTAAGGATTCCGAAGAATTTTTTTTCTTTCTTTCTTTCTGTTTCTCTCTCTCTCCCTTTCTCACCCAATCGAATAACGCTCTTCGAAGATAATTAATATTCATTCGAAGAGCCGGTACTCGTTATTTGCTTTATCGATCGATTTTAATGATTCATGCGTATGCGTGTGTGTAGCTGTAAAAGAAAAAAGAACAACGTAAAATGATAATCGTCGGGAAGAAAGTAAGGAACCGTGTCATACAGTGAAACGTTTATCTTTTAAGGAGTTTATCCATTGATGATGGTTACGGGAGACAACGGAAGACCATTAAAAATTCGTCATCTACCTATCTGCCAATGTTCCAACAAAATATTTCCCAGGCTCTATTAGAGACTATTTAAGAAAAATATTTTGCTTAAGGATTTATGGAAATGTTCGTTCACGATAAAATATATAAGTCATTGAGTTACGTAGTTACTTCACGTTTCAATATTAAATACATAATGTGACGTCTAAGGGACAAGCGAAAAATTATTTTAATCATCATTCTAATAAATTTAGAATAAATTGAGAAAAATGATTATGCCAGGAGGCAAAGAAGAAAGCGTTCAACGTTATAAACACGAAACACATGAATCGTCGGTGAAATCAAGTCGATTGACCGAACGAGAGAATGAAAAGAATCGAGAGTTCAACTACGATTTACTACCGTTCGAAAACGTTCATGGTTACGCTATCCGGTGAGAGAACCTGATTCATTCGTGAAATTGTCCGTGGACTTTTCTGACCCACTTGTTTCTATAATTGATTCGTCTTCGATTCGGAGCCGTCGTTATGGTTTTCGATACGGTGCCTATAAAATGCCTCTTAACGAGGAGAGCAGAGCAGAGCATAGTATATTGCGGCGCTCGTAAAGACTTATTTTCTATAAGAGCGACTCCGTGATGCGTGGTAACGTTCTAAAGGACTATACTAAACGACGAGGATAGTTGGGAGACTCTAATGGCACTAAGCTTTCAACGGGAAATTAACTCACCCTCCCTTTCTCTTCGTAGAGAGATGCGCGTTCTTTCGATCTCCTACTCACCTGGAAAAAAGCAAAACAAAACGAACGATTCAATTAATACAAAGTATTATGCGAAAGATAGAATTAAGGGCTTGTTCTTCAAAATGATTTTCTTATTTAAATTTCTCTCATCCTTCCTTCAAGATCGGTCAAGTTGGTACAGTACGACGACGACGACGACGACGACGACGACGACGGCGACGACTGATAAATTGACCGGCAGTGCCACTGCACTTTGCAACGTTCTAATAAAGTTCATTGGCTCTTTGTGGTTTCCCGTCGTCCTTTGTGACTTTGTTACGGACGGAATTAAGTCGTGCAGCAAAAGTTGCAGCTCGCGAAAGTAATAAATTGACACGGAATGTGAGAGAGAGAGAGAGAGAAAGAGGGGACAGTGGAAATGAAAGAGACGATGAGATAAAAAACAATAAAAACTTTCTAAAACGAGGGTCAGAATTTTCTCTTTGAAATGATTATACTATTCATCGAAAAAATAATAATAAGAATAGCGAAAGCTTTCCTTTATCAAGACAATATAATAAGAACATGCATCTCTTTCTCTCTTCTTCATCTAACAACTAGTCCAATTAGCGGGGCAAAATCGCGATGAAAGATTTGCTACGAAACATGAGCGAGTCGCCGAGTTCGAAAGTGGAATCGTCCAGTGAAAACGAAGAACGAGCGTGAAACTGGATCCACGTTTGCTGTAATCTTCTCGCATTAACTTTCGAGAGGAGCCGGTGATTACATCATATTTTATATCGTTTCGTCAGAGGACCTCTTTTATGGAAATGAGAGGGAGAGCATCCACATACGGTTCGTTTCTTCTTTATCGTTGTCCCAAATAAAAGAAGAAAAGAAAAGTCCTCTTTGAAATCGTTTCAATGGTATAAACGAAGTTTAGATATAAACCCCATAACGTTATGCTCTTTAATTCGTATTCGATATTTGTCTCGCGCGTGAAGAGAAGGATGTCAAATCTTTCCATTAACAATGACCATGAACGCGTGATTCGAAATCCACCATATACGTTCGGACTGATTTACGGTGATCGCTGTCAGTCACAGGTAAACGTTGAAACGTGATCGAGAAGCCTTTAGAAAATATGGAAAATACTACGACGCATTCGCTCCGCGTTTTGTCGACTCGTTTTGTTTATTAGATGGAAGTTCTTTGAAGAACGGGAAAAAAAAAACCAGAATTTGTAATGATAAGAAGAACATAGAGAGTTAAGTAGTATATACGCGGAAACGTTCCCGATTCGACGCGCGAATTATATTTGCAAAGCTAATAATAATGCGCGTTAATGAAGTCATCATTTTTGTTGCATGATTAGACGTAGGACGTCATTATTTAGCGATCGCCTAGTCATTCCGGCCGTTCCTAACGAAGTGATTGTAAGTGTTTTTATACGTACTCACTTTTTTATTAATTTTTAAATCAATCTCAGTATTTCTCTTTCACGCAACATCGAAAGTATCGACGTAATAGCTTTTTTTATCTTTCTCGTAGCTCGTAAAAACGACCTTTGCGAATCTTTTCGGTCTACCTTCATAATTAAATCCTAACTCGTCCTTACCAGCTCGCATGATCTTTCGATATAAAAAGTTGATTTCGCATGACCTTTCGGTAGAAAAAAATTTCTTGAAAGAAAAGTGAACTACTTGAGCGAGGCGTTAACTTGGAAAGTTTTGTTGCGCGTATTAAATCTTTAACTCGTCCGAAGCAATCAATGGTGTTTAGCAATCGCGAAGAATTTCACGATTCCGATAATGTTTTCAAAAATCGGCATCGTTTTTAACGCGCAATCGCTGATTCGCTCGTTCATTCGTTCAGTGAAAAACGAATCATTATACGAGGCGAATGAATTCGCGCGATAGACAAAAATGCGCCGTGATAAATGCACGCGCGATAGTGTCACCGGCAGATGCGGGCGAATCTTGGCCGTTCGAACGACGGAATGCGCATAATGCGATTCTTTCATAGTTCGTATCTGAAAGGTCGTAGGATTTTGCGGATGCATCGTTATCATAGCGAGCGATAAGCGTTTCTCTTACGCACTCGATCCCGATAAAACCTAAACTGTCCATCTGTCTGACGGAACTGCTTTAATTCGCTTAATTAATAATGTACATTTTTCAAAAGATTCTACGGAGTAGTTAAACATACGTGTGCGTGCGTCTCCACATATATATATATATATATATATATATATATATATATATATATATACACAGAAAGATTGCGAAGAAAACGTGTCACCGCGACTCGTTCACTTTCTCTCTCATTTTAGCATCTTACTCGATTTACTCCCATACAAATGTATCTTCTCTTACGAAAACACTCCGTTCGAATTCATTGCACTTTCGATCAGTTTTCTGAGAAAACGCTCTCACACAATAATAAAGATTACTCCTAACAAGATGTCCATTGTTCGAGGTATCAATTATTACGTATTTTTAAAAGTCTCTCACCGTAGCAAAGTTGACGGTCAGAAATTCATAATATTTCACTAAGAACTTCATCTGGCCTCTTTCTAGGAAGATGATGTTTGCAAAACAAACCCACGCGAACAATTCCTCGTAATGAGAACGAACGTAGCGTCGCTCTCCAGCACTTTCGCGTCGAATCAAAAGGTTTCTTTCTATCCATAAGACGGATTCATTATAACCAGTTAATTTGACATCAACGAATAAATTCGTATTAAATCCGATTCGACTACTTTTCTTCTTTCCTCTCTCTCTCTCTCTCTCTTAAAAAGAAAAAGATGAAAAAAGGACATAATTTACGATCGCCTGAACATTTCCGAGACTACACACTTGCATCAGGAGAATCGATTCATTTCTCTTATCTTCTCTTTCTTTCTGAGCTATGATTTATGTATCGATACGTTACGCAGCACGATTCATGGCTATCCGCTAATTATCAGGCCAATAAAAAGTGTGAGAAGCCGTGAAAGAGATTTAGAAGAGAGAAAGGGATAAAAGGCGATAGAAGAGAGAATGGGAAGAGAAAAAAATTACGAGTAAGAAAAAAAGAAAAAGGGAGAAATTGAGGAATAACTTGTCACCCAAGCGTCTCCTTTCACGGTCGACGCACGATTAGACTCGATCTCCTCTTTTTCCTTGCCGGCCCGAACCAAGTACATTATTTACGCGTTGATTAACCACGGTCAACCGTGATGACCGTGACGAATATCGACGTTTCATGGATTATCGATTTTATTGATCTTCCCCCGTGATTTCAAAAATTGCGCACGCCGAATGTTAATTAACGAGTCGTAATATTATAAAAGAGATTAAGAAAAAAAAAGAAAGAACGGACAAACGATAATTGTCGATTGTTTGTTTTGAGTTGTTAAGCATTATCAATGCGATAACGATATCACCCGCGCTGAATAATAATTATTTCATAACCGTTATATAAAAACACTGTGGAAAACACATGTTTCTAAGATTTTCTTAATTCGAGTATTAAAAATGTGACCGAATGATTTATGAATACCCTATATATACGTGCACGTATGAAACGTGTTTTCTTTCCGATGGAACAGCTGATCGACGCACAAAAGGCTTACGTAATCGTTCCTTTGTTTCCCGACGCGTGAACCTTCCTTTTATCTATCTCTTTCCCTCTCTCCCTCTTTCTTTCTCGTAACTCATTTGACGTGGCCGCGATGTAGTCTCGAAACTTTGTCGTCCTTCTGGCTGCTGCTGCTCTTTCTTCTTCTTCTTCTTCTTCTTCTTCTTCTTCTTCTTCTTCTCGCGTTTCGCACGGAGCCAAGCGAAAAACGGTAGCGACGAGTGTTCACGCATTCTCGCGAGAAGGGGCACGCACGATTATGCAATCGTTTAGTTTGAACGTTATACGAGGAACACCGATGACGACAACGACGGCGATGCTTCCGTACACACTTTGGCTCGTTTATTTGCGGATGATCACGATCAACTACTACTGACTCCTTACGAGTTTACAAGAATTCTGCGTATAAAATCCGATCAACGGAGAAATTATTTTCATTTCGATTATTCGTAATAAAATGAATTTGATCGTCAATGTTCTTAAAACAGAGAAGATGATCCATTCGAAATAAGGGATATAACGTATGAAATAGAGAGAGAGAGAGAGAGAGAGAGAGAGAGCCCTGTGTGTTCATCGGTTTTTTTTTGTTTTTTTTTTATATCGAATTGTCGAGCAGAAATCTGAGAGAAAGATCCTGAAATACACGAGTAATACGAAGAGTCGGAGAAAGATATTTGGTATTTTAAAATCGATAGACATTCCTGTCGTCGTCATCGTCGTCGTCGTTGTCCATTTAACGTATCTTTAATTTGGGAGTAAGGGAAAGAAGAGACCAGCTAGGCTCGTAAGTTGCATAACGAGATGGTTAAGTGCACAAGCCAACCCGACATTAATGTAGGCCTCAGCAACGTGCCAGAAACGAAAATACCTCGGGTTACCGGCGAACAGAGCCGAAAATCGCACACGGCTGCCGAGAAACGCGAGAGAATTCGTTCTAGCTTGCGGACATACGATAAGACTATCCCTCGCTCTCCCTGCCCCTCTTTCTTCTACTCGTTCTTTCAAATTTAAACGAGCAAAGGCCATTGTTACGAGGCAATGCCGGACTAGCTGGAATATAACTAACGGAACAATAAAATCTTAGACGAGGTCGTAATCTTTTGAACGGCCTTCTTTAAAAATTCGTCTAATGACGTTTCGAAGATATTCCTACCAGATGAACATAGAGAAGAAGAAAGAGAAAGAAAGGATTTTTTTTCCTTTTTTTTTACTTTTACGAACGAAATCTCACGTTAAAAAGAAAATGATAGAACGATCGTCGATCGACACGTCCGATATAAAAATGAATAAAGGATGCACGTTGGAAGTGCAAAATAGAGAAAGGAAGATCGAACTTGAGATTAACGTAAAAAAGAAAAATGAAATGTGGATTAGACACGTCGAGATAGATCGGTTAGCTACCGTATATTTTTATGGAAAGAAAACACTCGTCGGTGATC